GTCAGCTTCCTCGCGTCTCTTCCCGACCGTAGGGATTGGATCCCCAATTCTGCCCTCACGGCTGCATTACTTGTGCGCCTGGAGCATCCTAGGATGGTTTTCGCTGCTTTCATCTGCGCCGCCTCGAGTTCTTTCACTACCTTCTTATTTCCTTCCCATACTTCTCCGGCGTACTCTAGCGGCGGTACGAACACCAAGGGGGGGGGGGGTTACAAAAAAAAACACCCAACTCCCACCGTAATACAGATGGATCACAAGCGTTGGAACCATTGTTGCACATCACATACGAAAGTAGGGAGTATCTTGCTGATGGTTTAACAACTAGAAACCCGACCATGCATACGACCCTTTGTACGCCAAGTGCAGAGATGTGTGGTGGCGGGTGTTCGGTCCTCCCTTCCCTATCCCCTCCGATGTCCCTCTCTCTCTTCTGAGACGTATCCGTGCCAAATCTCAAGGGCACTGCCAGCACCCGGTATGTCATGGTGGGAAAACATTACAACGACCTGGGTCTCTTTTCCAACGGGGAAGCCTTTGCCCTTACTGGCGTCGACGAAGAGACGAGAGATCACAGACAACATATAAAATATAACTGAAAGCCCGATGCCCGTTTCTCGAACGACATCTCGTTTGGTCAAGACAGGCGCATTTTAGAAAAATGGGCTGGGCTCAAAGTTTTTAGGGACACTTTGTGGTATGTACGGGCGTTATTTATCAAACAAGAGGCGAGAAAACAAACGTACACCACCCAGAGATTGGGAACATTTGTTCTCAGAAGCGTTCGTTTCGAGAACCGTTCTCAAGGAACCGTCTGACTCCACCACATGCCCTTGTTTCGACAGGAGTCGGAGGAAAAGGAGTGATTTAGGAGGAGTAGGACCGCTTGGCACAAAAGGGATCACGTCGGCCGCTTTTCAGTACTCAAGAAGCAGCATTGTAATAGTACATAGCGTGTGTGACGTGACGTTCGATACACATCCAAAACAAAGCGGCAGCGCGTGTTATGTTTGGCACAATCTGAACACATATCTCTTTGATTTCGCCCTCCCTGCTGTCCACGACTATCTCGTCTCGCAGTGTTTCCCTTTCTCGCATACGACCTGGTTGGTTGGCCTCCTCTCCACTGAGGAGCTAGCTATATGAATGCATCACATCAAGATCCGGAATTCACAAAGGGATTGCAATTTGATTGCGCCGCAATCCTGTGATTTCATGGCGAGACGAGAACGATGTAAAAACTAACCCCGCAATTCGTACGCTCAAGATACGGCCGAGACAACCTGAAGACAACAACCAGTGCCTTCGAAAAAAAGCGGCACAGCAAACATAGCTTTCTGTCATGCAGAGGGTGGACAAAAGTCATCGCGTTGGAATACACCGGAATGGACGTCACGATCAAAGAGACTTCACAGCACTAGCACCAAAAATGGTGATCTTTCACGACCTCGCGTACTTGGAGTATGTACATGTCCACGATCGGTGAGGGGCGGTCTTGACAAAGAACAACAGAAACAACAACCTTTCCGAGGAAAATAAACTTGGTTTTCGAGTGGGGGGTACAGGTTGGGGGTTGGGGTTACGAAACTCCCCTCTCTACTTCATCGACAAAAAAAAATCGCAAAGGCGTTACAACAAGGCTATTGAGTAACTCACCGCATGCACGGCTCCGACACGCTGATCGCCGTCTCCTCCGGTATCTCGAGGAAACGCGGCCAGTTGAGAATCTTCCGGCACGTGGTCACGGGGTCCTCCGCGTAGAAGGGAGTGTACCCCACCAGGCACTCGAACATGATCACACCCAGGGACCACCAGTCGCACTCCTTGCCGTAGCCCTTCTGCTGCAGGACCTGAGGACATGGGAGAGCGGAGGGCACCGCAAATAATTCTCGGCACCGTAACAACAACCAAGTACTTCCAAGCAAAACAACAAGTACTTGTGGGGTGCTGCTGCTTGTCTCGGTCCAAAAACAACGGATATCTTTTGTACGGTTCCTTTCAAGTACCACATCCAATCTACTCTCTCTCATCCAAAGAAGCTGTCTTCATTGAACACAACGCTGCTGTCGCTGCTGCTGTTGCCGTAATATTCGCAGAGGACATCGAAGTTCGGTGAAGTGGTACAGGTGAACTCGGTACGGGGGTGGAACCCTCGTTCATGTCCACGTAGATAGGTCTTCTGAGGTTTACCTTCTAAGCTGTGCCCCTTCCAACGGTAGAACGCACACAGCACTATACACGCCTGTTCTACCGCCGCAGAAGTAGGTAGGTATGCTACTTACGCCTTCATCTTCTTCTCGCTTTCGTCTACCTGACAGCTGACTGCCGGTCAACGCCAATGGGAACGAAACCAGTCTACCCTTACCACCCATCTCGTGACACCAAACACACCTCGGGAGCTATGTAGTCCGGCGTTCCTACGGTAGAGTACACAAGGGTGCGATCACGGTGACCCGGGGTAGCACTAGAAGACCGACCCGGGTCTCCTCCTNCCCCAGCGCCGCCTGCCTGCGCTGCCCCTGCCTGCCCAGCAATCGGGGGCTGACAGACCTCCATCCCCTCCATCAGGTCATCCTCCGGGACGTCGGGCAGCAAGTTCAGCTGTTGAGGTCGTTGAGGAGGGGACGTGTCGTACAGGATGCAGCAAGAAATACGGTAACGAAAGAGACAGTTATGAACACTGCATGAGCACTCATGACTGCTCGTGTAAAACGGCGGAAACGATTTATGGCGGTGCGCGATTCAGCGCGCACAAAAAATCTCAGGTTGCACGTGGTGGGGTCATCTGTGCCGTAGAGTAGCCTGGCACGAAACTGTTAACACCATAACATTCGTCGAAAGCGTTCACGTCACACGAACAACCCTGCACAGAGCCCGCTATACGTCGATAGTTTTTCAACAACAATACTTGAACTTATGCATTGCATGCATTTGTGACACAAATCACCTCATCATATCTCCCGAGTATTTCGCCCCACATGACAAAAATCAACATGAATCTCTGCACCTTCTCCGGCTGCATCTTGGTGCACAGCCCCAAGTCTGTGAGCTTGACGTGGCCGTCCCAGTCAAGCAAGATGTTGTCAGGCTTGAGATCGCGGTGAATGTACCCCAACTCATGCACCTGAACCAGGACAAAAACGTACGTCGTACCGAAGGCCAAAATGTTGTGACTCCAAGGCAGGAGGCCAACGCCATAGAATACACGGCAGTCAGCGGTAGACACCCACGATAGCTGCTACCGCCTACCAGACCTGAAACAAACCGAAAGAAAAGTCACAAGTAACAGGGTGAGGGAACATGGCCTCACAATAAACATGGACGGATTAAGCCGAACACGCCAATGTGGCCCACATAAGCCAAACAGGCGACAGAAAAAGATACACCGCACACATGAACACATACACACAACACAGCGGCATCCTGCAGGGGAAGGACAGATCAATACAAGACAAATCACGGACTGGACTGCTGTCCATGTCGCACCCTCGCGATGGCCATTGCAGTTTCCGCCATATAGACCCTGGTGGCATCCTCTCCGAAGGTGTCGTACTTCATCAAGAGCCCCATCAAGTCGCCCCCAGGTAAAAACTCCATCACCATGTACAGGTTAACGTCATCCTGACCACGGTTACCACCACGAGCAGGCGGAGCACGGAAAACATCGAGAGGAAGCAGGAAGGTGAAAGTGCAAAGAATTAGAGTTGGGATACAGCAGTGCACTACACCATACCCAAAGAGCAGTGTCAACGCTGTTCAGGAGGTCGGTGCCAAACCATTTAATTATCTCCTGAACCCGCATTTCCAGCGACCTCGATAGGGTACTGGCTGTAACCAATGCAATAATACCTAGACTAACTTCCCCCCCTAGACATACGAAAACACAAGAGCTTGAAAAAAGGGCGTACTGAGCCCGCCTTGAGGCTACCGCGGTGTCTTCATCTCAGCCTAGGCATACAAGAAGGGCTACGTGTGGGCTCAACAGGTGCCTTCAGGCCAAGTATCTCAAACTCGCAAAATCGATTGGTAGAGTCCCGGCAGGACACGCCTCATGCAACGAGAACCCCACACGAGGAAATGTAACACCCACCCATTGCAAAAGCATCACAACTTTTTACGACAGCAATAGCAGCAACAACAGACTTTCACAACAGCAGCAGCAGCAGCAGCAGCAGGACGAACAGCGACTACAGCAACACCCACCTCTGTACAATGCGAAACAAAACAACAAAAAGACTGCAGCGTTGCAAGACGGTACTGCACACTGCACCTGAAAGCTGTACATGAGCTTGACAATCCATGGGTCATCCGCTTCGGCCATAACGTCTCGTTCCGCCTTAACGTGCGTTACTTGGTTTTTTAGGATCATGTGCTCCTTCAGCATGCTCTTCATCGCGTAAACCTGAGTTGGGACGGATAGGATCAGGTTGGGTAGAACATAAGCATCTTCCAATATCATGAAAGCTGTGATTAAAAGTCTCTTTGGTGTCGCACATATGTTGGATGTTGGATATTCTGGGTACTGCGGTCTTCTCGTCGAGCTTCGCCTACAAGTATATGTTTGGTAGTTAGCCTGTGCGAGCCACGGAAGGCGCCCGCGTCAACTGAACATGCTAGCAGGTTGTACGGGGCAGAGACTACAGAAAAAACAGCAACACTTCAAGACACGACTACTTCAAAGCAGAAGCACTTCGGTACAGCTCTGCCTGCCGTTGTGGTGAAAGCAATGAAGGCAAGGTTGTAGTACAGCAGCACTCGTCTATCCTATCCCCAGGGGCAGAAGAAAAGTGCGAGACTTCTGTCAACAACCTTCGCAGCGAACGTACGTCAGATATGCGTTTAACACTCCTTCCTTTCTTTGGTCCTCGACGGGGATACAGGCAGTAGCGCCAAGCGACCCGATGAAGGCATGAAAACGAAAATAACCTTGTCTGGGAAGTCCTGCAGAGAATGACTGGCCGTTCAATTCATCACTCCCTGGCGGCAAAAAAAAAAAAAACGAACGTTTGAGGTGGAAGTGACGCTTCTTGGAGCGGCTCCTGTTGGCGTTTCCGTCCAAAAAAAAACGCCTTCACATCGAGAAACAAAGGCAAGCAACAAGAAACTGGACACCATCCTCCCCCCCCCCCCTACTCCCCCAGTCACGACCCGCGATACACTCACGAGGTTCTTCACTTGGGGCAATACGCCTACCTGGCCACTCAAACTCCAACGTCCCCGCCGTAGCAAACTAGAAATGAGTGCATCTTCCCTCTGGGGGGGTCGGCAGAAAAAAGTTTCAAGGTACTGCCGCCGACGGTGCCTCGTGACTCACCTCGCCGGTGTCTCGCTTTCGGACCAGTCGGACTTCTCCGAACGCGCCGCGACCGATCATCGCCAACGCCTCGAAGTCGGCCTTGGTCAGCCGCTTACGCCCCTCCCGGATGTTAGTAAGACACTGCGTCATTGCACACGCACACACACACACACACAATCAATTGATTGGTTACAACGTTAAATATTCACAAGAGGTTGAGATACTGCTGCTGCACGGAAAAAAGTCGCCATTTGGATACATCTGGTCTCTGGTAGAATCAGATGTGCATATCAACACAAAAATCAAGGGATTTCACGTAAACCAGAGGAAACGGCGCTTGAAAAATTAGACTCCTGCGTATAGGATATTGTAACTCTGAGAACCAGTCTCGGGTGCGATTTGCGATGCTCGTGTCGGCATCTCCGCCCAGATTTCAAATTTTACCATATCCATGGATTTGCTTGAGAAGAGAAGTCCGTTTCTTGCTTCGAACAGAACAGAAGACAGAAGGTGACGACAGAGGTGCGAGAGAGCTGAAGAAGAGCCACTTATCGGAGCCGACAATTTTCCAAAGTTCTACCCCAAGGTATATACACATGGTGAGATTTCTCTTGAACGAGCAGGCCAACGGCACATCATTATGAAGCCAGTCCCACACTCAATAATCCGATGAGAGTTTGTATTGTAGTAAATGGTAAGAAGGAGTGGTGTTGCAAGAACAGCAAGGTGTTTCCAGGCCAGCTGCACAGACCTCCTCTGCGTGTGCGGCTATACAATTGTACCTCTCTCTCACAGCGCGCCGCAATAGTACTTTCATTCCACGCTCCAAACGACCTTCGACACGACCTATAATAATGGCGCCAACGACGAGGCGTGATTCATCAACTTTCCAAAGCCTCAACCCAAGGCGGTGTCATACCGTACATGTACAGTAGTATCTTGGGGGTCCACTTCGGCGAGAGTTAATAATATACGCCGGCTTGGCGCTACGTTGGTGTTGACGGGGTAAACTCTAGGTTGTTGCTGCTGGGATAGGTGCTAGATTGGCGTTGATGGGATGGATCTAGGTTGATGTTGCCTGGCTAGGTGCTAGGGTGGTCCCGGCGTAGCTAGGTGCTAGGTTGTTGGGCCTCGGAGTAGGGCTAGGTCGCTCTTGGGTGGTAAACCGTGTTCGCGCAGGTCTGTATAGGCAAGGACTGCCAAGTTGTGGGTGCATGGCTTATGTGCGTACCCATGGGTGCATCGAATAGTTTTCCGTTTCGTGGTCATGGACGCAGGCAAAGAAACTGGATCTCTACGGGACGGTACGGTCGTGGAAGGTGGCTGTTCATATAAAAAAGGTTAATAGTGGCTGGCTTAGTCGGCGGGACTGATACCATCACAATATCTGCTAACTAAAATGCACTCTCCGGCTTCGTATGCATCCTACACGGCAGTTTGCAAACGGGGTGAGAGGATACTAAATAACCGTGTGCAGGAATCTTCACGTGATTCGATTTGTGCAGGCAGCGTTCTATGGTGTATTGATCCATACTCCCGGGGAGCGAGTGATTCAGGTCCCCACTTCAAAACAAAGCGGGCTCATGTCGCCCCTCGTTGCGGTAAAGTCAGTCTCAATCCTGCTCTTGGACTTTACCGGATTACAGCAGTAGGATAGTTTCATCGTCTACGCTCTTGGGGTCCAAGGCTGATCGTGTAACGTGAGTGTACTACCGTACAGCAGTGGCCTTGTTGAGATTCGAGTCAGTCACTCTCTGGGAGGCTCATTCTCTTTTTATGCTTAGACTGGGATTACGGAAATCCGCTTCTAGTCTTCAAGAGGAGAAAGGGTTACAATCCCAAATACACACAAGCCGAAATAATATAAAAAAAACACACACAAGACATGCACGTCTGCTGTAACGTTCGAGCGAGATGGAGCATCGGAACAGTTTTCATGTCAAGACAGCAGCAGCAACAACGCAACCACAGGACTAGACTACTGCTGTGTAGCACACCAGTCTTTTCAAGTCTGTGTCCGAGGCGATGCAGCTAAATAGTTACCATCCTGTTGCTCAAGAGCGGCTTCGCGGCGAAACGTCGGACATTGACGGGGTATCATTCTATCGGTCGCGATGGCGTGGCACGTGTGCAATTGTTGCCTCCGGGGTATATACCAGCCAAAGCCCGCCCCGCGCTCACCGTCGAGGCTGCTGTATCTAAATCCTCCGCGAACAATTGCGCCCCCCCTACTGTCGTGCTTTTGTCGTGCTACTGTCGTGCAGTAGACAAAATTAAACAGCCCTGCATTTTTTGTCGTCTAATGCCGCATGCCGCCGGCGGCCCCGTCTTCGGACCACACTTGGCATCCAGATCACAAACAATGGTCTTTCGGTGTAACGATCCGCTCGCTCCTTCCACACATGTAAGAGTTGGCGAGAGGGTATGTATAATACCCTTTTACGAGCACGCCTTATGCATGCCGAAGGAGGATTATTTCGTGCGAGGAGGCGACAGGGAATAGCCTGCAATCCCCCGCCATGGGGCCCTCTCACCTCCTGCCACACTCGCTGGCGGTACTGGTCCCTCTCCGACTCGGCGATGCCCATCTGGTCCATCCTTGCGTTCAGGATCTGAATTTTCTGTTGGCTCTCCTCCCTGTCCTGGGACTCCTGGTTCAAGTTCTTGTACTTGGCCTCCAGGATGGCACGGGCCACGGACGCCCTGTGTATCTGGCTCTGGGACAGGGGCTACGAGCCGCGGGGGGAGGGATAGGACGTCAGACCGGAGAGCTTGCACATGAGGACCTAGGTAGCCCACAGGTGGCACCGCCACAAATCTATCTCAGGATCAGGGGGATGGCATTAACAAACACGAACCAACTCTGTCTTGGGTATACGTGAGTGCATTTTTATCTGCAAGCGTGATAGCGGCGCTCCCTATCAACTGCCCAAACGAGCAGCACCTTGGTTTCCCTTGATGATGGAGATGCCGACCCAAAAGCCCCGCCGCTGGCTCTGCCGGCGCCTGCTGCGCCAGCCCCTAGCGCATTACTGCGGGGCGTAATTGCTGAAATCTGCACGTTCAAAACAGAACCATCGCTCGTGTGCCCTGCTAACCCCGCCCCAGCAGAAGCCTCCGGATTACTGTCACCGTTGTCTCCTTGGGGAGGTTGGAATTCTCCCATAGACACGTCATCGCCGAAGCTCGCCATGTAGAGGAGAGCTCGGAACCAGCGGGGAAGCGGGGGGGGGAATGTTTGTTGCCTTGACTCGCTCGCAGCTCTGAACAACAAGAACGGCAGAAGGAACAAGTCTCACATACGTCCCAGCCATCTCCCCGCCGGTCTCCCCACCGCAGGGCATACCCAGTCATTTTCGCATCCATTAAACTCCACGGAGCCCCCGGTCCCGACTCTGTTTGGTCCGCACATCCGTACACTCCGACTCTGTCAGTCACCCTGTACAGCAGTGTATGCTGCATGTTGTAAGCAACAACCGTTCTGTCTTTGCACTCCCCTCTGTCCAATTGAACCGATGGCGGAAGCGTCTGAGCTGAAGGATGAGCTGACCGTGCTTGGTCAGCACATGCATAGGTTTTTCGTAGCAGACCGGAGACCATGGGCAGAGGTGAGTGGATTGGCATTGAATTGTCCGCATCTGAATTGCTACGAATGTCCTGCAAATGTCCTGGAACAAAGACGAGTGGGTTCGAGGGAGCAGAGCGACAAGAAGGGGGAGAAACCGATTTCTATGCATGTCTACGTTGAGGCAGAGGCGGAGGCAGAACTGGAGAGCAGGCCAGAGCAGTATGTGGCGGCCACGCCCTCTAGCTGTCGTGGTGTCTGCCTTTGTGGTTCAGTTCTGTTTGCAATGGAGTCAACGTTCCCCGCAGATCGAGAGCGATTTTTCGTTTTGAAACTGGCGCTAGAGGCAACAGCAGTAGATTTAGACGATTCGACTGCGTGGCCACTTGGCGGATTGGCGGCGGTGACCGTTTGTTGGTCAAGCACACGACCTGAAAATTTCTGACCTGAGACCTAATGACTTTTTCCACACACAGCAGGTGGTTTCTTTAATGTCTGCCAGAGTTTTCCCCCCGTTCTTACCCTCTGGTCGTCGATCGTGTGTTGGTCTCTGTTTTCTGTTTCAAAGCAAGGCAGATATAGTCTAGATGGTATTCCAGTCCGACCATTGCCTACTTGTAGTAGCGGTGAGTGGTGAGTGGACTATATATAATACATATGTTTTCTCCGTCGGCCACCCACACCCCACACCCCGCTTCCCATGTCTTCTCGCTGTCTCCCTGCTTTTGCTTTGCCACTTTGCCACGCCCCCCTCGCCATACAGTTTTTCGGGCCGGTTGAGCAGCCAAAATGGACCCAGGCAGAAGTAAAGAAGGTAAGAGGGTGGGGTGAGCGATACAAGGAGTTACTTGTTTGTTGTTTGCTCGAGGAGTAGTTGTGCGGCGGCGGAATCTCTTCGCGAGTCAGCAGCAACCTTAGGGCTCGATTTCAGATGTTTACGCTCGTACGCTCTCTTTCTGACTCTAAAAAACTGTAGCAGGCCTGGCACAGGGAGTTGCAGAAGCAATTTCATCAAGATAGAAGCGAGTCAGTCATTCAAAGAAAAATGCCTGACACTTGCATTACCCAATCAGGAATTGCAACGATATTACCCATGCCAAATGAAGAATTGTGCATGAGATATGAAATTACGTGATGCAATTATTAGCCCCGTTACCTCAGACTTAGCATGACCGTGACTTATCGAGGTTGCACACCAGGGTTTTGTGCCTCAGGAACAAAAAAACTGAAACAAACCCATGTGCTCTCTTTTTCTTTTGCCTTACTCGTCGGTGGGTCGATTTCCGTTTTTTCTGCTTCCTGTGGGAAACAAGGGTATCAGTCGTGAATGTAATTCTCTCTCTCAGATGTTGATGCACGAGTCCCGGACTACAGAGGGATAACTGTTCTACAGCAGTTGCCACCGTGTGGGTCAGCCAATCTCCATCAAAATCGGCGTATCGAGTATTGTAGGCTCTGCCTCTCGCTCTCCCACACTAAGCGCATGCTCTTTAGACTACATTTTGTGCCCTAGAAGCGCGATCTGCTGTTGATTTGCTTCGCCGGCTTGTTGTGTCTTGACTCACCGCTGCTCTTATGGTTACTACGACCAGGCCAATATCTCAGCATCAACAAGTATACTGCACCCTTTGCGACCCGCGGAGTAACAGTCTATGAAACACGAACGTACGCACGTGGTTCACATGGAACACTTCCCCCCCCCCGAAGACTTTGCTAGCCCACTGCTGCTGTCGTTGATGACTGGGGCGCTGAGTCTGAGGCTATCCATCAAGAGCCGTCGGTGGCACGGTGCATGCCAGTTTTGGTTGCATCCTCGCCCCCTTTCTGCAGGAAGTTCGAACTTCGAGATGATGACAAGACCCTAGCCTGGGCCGTCGCCGCGCGGCAAGAGATCATTCGCGCCTGCTCTACCATACCCTTCACGAACCCATCTGGCATAAACGTGTGTGTGTGTGTTCTTGCCCCTGCCAGAGAGTGAACGCGAACCTTTCCTTCTTCGCGACCAACTACCTGATGATCTGGGCCACGATCGCGGCGGTGTACATCCTGCGATCGCCGGGGCTCCTGCTCACCCTGCTGGCGTCTCTGTGCATGTTCCTGTACGTTTTTATGAGCCGTCGCAAGAAGCTTGTGGTGCTGGACGTGACGCTGGGCACGAGGGAAAAGACCATTGCGGCCGCCGTAGGTGTGTGTATGTTCGCATCTCTTTGCTTGATTTTTTATTTACATACCACGCCGATCCAACCGGGTAAGCGCTGATTATAGACATGGAAAACTTCACCTAGGAAGTACTTGTTTAGTCGGTGTCATTGAATAGGTGGTCCGGGGGATATTCTAGAGATTTTTCCAGCGTTTGTTTGAGTGGAGCATGGTAATATGGTTGCGGTTCGCTTGACGCACGGGGTCCACGCCGTCGCGATCTGGCATGTGTGTGTGCGGCTCCGGCATTGTCTCAGGTTTGCTCGGTTAAAGGGTTGTGTAAGGCAAGTCTAATCCCGTATGTTCTTCCGGGTGCAGACATCTATTCATGCGCCGGTGTCCTGCGGGACGTGTGTGTGATTTTTCATGAACATTGACTAAATCCATGCTGTTGTTGTTCCGCACCGACACCCTAGGACTCGTGGACCATGTTTTGAACGGGCGCCAAGGTCGCAGTTGCGCTTGCCCGGTACCGAGGGCGGAGAGCTGTTCTTTCGTGAAGTGTAGCCAGGGAAAGGCCGATTGAACGACGCCCCTTAGGAGATGTTTTGCCTACCCATACCTGACCTGCCCTTGAGGTACGGTAGAGTCCTACGCCAATCAGCGGTTTGCTGATCGCCACCGGCTCTCGGTATGTTTCTTTGAGGTCGCTTCTCCCTACGCCCTGTCTGCGTGTGCTCGATGACATGCTTTACATTTTAATGTGCTCAATTCTGGCCTTCACTATTTACCCCCGCGCGACGTGTCCCTCGTGACGTGTCATTGACCGTCTCGCCCATGCGTCACCCCCCCCCGCCCCCCACCCCATTTGCACCAATCAGCGTCGATGCTCCTCCTGTCGATCACGGGCTACATCTTCTCGCTGCAGTTCTCGGGCATCTTGGGGTGCGCCGTTTGCCTCTTGCACGCCACCTTCCGCCCGCCGGTGGCGCGAGCCGTTCGCAACACCCGGGGCGGGGGCCCGCCGGAGCTCCACGGGGGGGACGGCGACTTGGAGGGCGGGGGGGGCATCGGAAGGGGGCGACCGGGGCCGGTGAACGCGAACATGCGACTTCGGACAAGGCCTATGCCGGGAGCGGGGATGGCAACGACCCCACCCCCGGGTGGCGGGGGGGGGTTCCGTGAAAGTGCACCGCCGATGGTGGACCCGTCAAATGCTGGAAGGCACTCTCACGCGACCTGAGAAGTGCTTTTGGCATCAGCGAGCACGGGGGGCGGGCATGCTACATAGTCGCGCATCAGAACTGGAGGCTTCACTCTCTGCATAGATGGAGGCATTGGGCCTGAAGGAGTGTTGAAGCTCGACTGAGAGCGAGCTGCTGCGCTGGGACGAGGCAGACGCGGCTCAAGGTATACTATATATGGAGGCGCGGTGTGCTCTTCGGGCCCCCTGTAGCACGGGAGATTTTTGTAAGACGCAACTTGCGCTGGTACTGCACGCGTGAAGGAGCCAGTGTACGCTGATAGACAGGGAAGTTGAACCCCCCCTTTCAACACCTCATTATCTGGATGAAAGGAGAGACACAGGAGAGCATGCTCGCAGGCGTTCGTATGGAACCAAGGAAACGTGATGCTGGGGCCTTCGCGTGTGAGAGGGGTCATGGCGCTTGTTGGAAGGGTAAGGATTCTCCACCACTTGCTGCTTCGACTGATTGTGTGCGACGCTGGCTAGGATGAAGGCGACTGGGTGCAGAAGGCAGCTGAGAGGCGTTTTGCGGGATTGGGCTTTTGGCGGCGCCATGGAACCGGTACATGTCTTAACCCTCAGGTTCTGCAGTTGATGGTTACACGTGCGGGTTGGGAGACAACGCTTAGCTTTCATAGGCATCAAAACGGCCGAATGCCGCAAACGTTGTTTGTTTTGTGACAGCAGTGCAAGAGGGGAGGGATGCAACAGCACACTTTGGACCGTTCACCGCGTGTTATCGTAGGGCGCATGGAGCTTTCGGACAAGATGAGATCCACGGGATGAGGTTTGCGGGACTTTCTAACGGATCCTAGTCGTAAGAATATGTCGAGTTTGGGCTCGCGGCCGAAAGATCGTGTGTGTGTGTTGTGTTATGCTATGTTAGCTGGAGCTTAACCGTATATTTGCACTCTTGACAACACCACGTGTGTCCGTAGTTTCCGTCATACTGTCGCCGATTCTCGAGTCATCGGCCTTTTGACGCCATATATGGCTAGAGTTCGGTGATGTTGTGAAGAGCAGCGAGAGTACAAAGAGAGTACAAAGCGAGGGGGTGTCTTCGAGCGTCGTGAATCTGGAAAAAATCACCACCCCATTTTTGTTCAATTGCTGTAGTCCTGTGTATTGCGTTAGTTCTTTACTCGATGCGGGTGCAACGGGGTTGTCGTGAGAAGTGCTTTTTTTTTAAGGTCGTGTGTCAGCTTGTGCGTGTCCTTTGTGTTTCTTGGCAAAGCAATGTAGGTCAAGCCACAAACCACCGCTATCATATCTAATTACATTTGTTTTACTGGTGTTGAACTGCTCTACCTGCCTCGATTGAATCATGCAACGACTACGACACGCATTGTGTGTTGCGTGAATTCTCGGCACGCCACCAAACTTTCAAATCGCTAGTGCGCTGCTGATTGTTTCACTGGGAGTTCCTCCAAGAAGCCGATACAAAGTTTCTATTCTCGGCGTTTTACCGCCCCACAACAAAAGCGTCTTTTCCGATGCTGTTCAGTCCGGAACTCCGAACCATGCACTTGTTGTTGCCTAACCCCGGCGTGAGAAATCCCTCCGTCGGCCGTCTTGGACACGAACTTGCACGCCCTCGGCAAGTTTGTGTTGATTAGTGCCTCCTGGGGCGTAGACGCTCACGCGTACCAAGGCCTGAGGATTGAACAATCGTACAGCCTGCATCATCGCTGCAACCCCACCATCTTGTCGAGCGGACGAGGCCATTTGTCCAAAGCGTCTTGGCTTCACACGACGACTTTCGGGACAATCAATGAATTTGGCGTGGTCTCCGTAGAAGCTTCTAGACCATCACTGGCGAAGGCGCAACGTCGCGAAAGAAGAAGAAAGAGCCCGCCTGAGATTCCAGAGCCATCTCCAAATCCTGCAACACATATCTACGACTGAGTCCGCCCGGACGCTGTGGAACCTGCAGCCACACAATGGACAAAGAAACAACGTGTCCGTCATCATGTGCACAAGTTTTTGTGTTTCTACTGCTGTAACGCGTTGGCGCTTCACGAAGAACCCACAGGTTCATTCTCTAGTCGATGAAGCCCAAAACTGGCATGGAGAATCGAAAAGTCTGCATCGACAGAAACTCGGCTACGGTTCGGTACGGCAGAAGCGGCAGTCAGGATGAAACAACATGATCAAACTTGTTTGGACACTGACCGGAAGTACGGAGGTTGGTGGTGGGCAAACCCGCGCCCGCCACCGGCCACGACGAGGTCAGAAACAACACCAAACGTCAGCCCCCACATTACAAACGTTTTCGCATCCAGGGGGTACTCCACCGGGGTTGGAACGTCAATCGTGGAGTCGTCAACTAGAGACTGCTGCTGTCCCGACAGCGACGGTGGAGGAAGGAAGAAGCAGGGAAAGAAGATGGTATTTGCCCCGAACAACCACGTCAGCGCCTTTAGGGACAGAACAAGGTGAACGAACGTTTGGAAGGCTGCTGTTGGGGGGGGGCGAGCAACCGACGTTTGATCGCGTGTTCCACCAAGCACGCATGCGTGAACGAGTCACAACAGTAGTGCCGTAGTCACATTCGCACAATCAGTCTCAGACACGTTAAGTAAAGACTATCATGGAAATTGGCCGAGTCAAGTGATGGATTAGTACGGAGAGATTGAGACAGAAGGAGGTACTGGATAGAGAGACCGGGATGGTTTTTAATGTGAAGACAACAACAACAACAACAATCATGACAGTGGAATTGAAGGAAGGAACAAGCAGGGGACGAACGGACTATGTACGCCCAACAGTCACGCCATCAGCGCCTTTCCGCACAGGGCAGATCGCTTTGTGCATACAGATCCAAAAGCAGCGTAATGGCAAAAAAAAAACGCCCCGCAAAACGCTTCGAACATTGGTGAACAAAAGAAGAACACATCAACGCCTTGGCTAAATAATATTGCAAACCGCAGATGCAATCCGTATCGTCTTCTCACCTTCCAGTGCGGCTTCCGCGCAGCCTTGACCATGCTGGTGACAGCGAAGCCAACCTCTCGCGGGGTAGGGTCGGGGAAGAAGATTGCTGTGTCCACCCACCTGCAGGTGGGACATACACAGTCAGAGTGGGAATCGGTTGAGCCCAGGAGCAAACGTGTATGCACAAACCCGCCAGGCACCGACACCACGACACAGCACGAACACGGTCTCGGGACAAGAAACCGGCCAACCCATCAAGTGACTGAAAAGTCGAACCTCTTTCTTTTCTACGTTTCTGGCTTTCCTCTTCCTGTGTATTTCTCACCAAGCGAAGGCCACTTCTGACTCCTGGATGGTGACGGGTATATCCGACTTGGCGGTCTGCACGAAGACTGCGGAGGGCGCAGGGTAGGGGGAGGCGGACACATACGAATACCATCCATTGATCATGGAGTTAAAACCGAAGCAAGTGCACTGGGTTGATGCAGCGCATCACTTTCACCGTACACCATCCGTGAACAGAGGAAATGCCTAGACTGCAGTGTCGACGAATACGGCTCACAAAACTTGACCATGATATGCAGGGCACCGAATGTGCCTCGGTTGACCCAATCCTTCTTCATCTTGGCGGTACAAAAACACCCGTTCAGCATTGCTTACAATTTCCTCCAAGGGAGGGGCAGCAGGCGCCTTGCTTCACCCATCTCGCTTCCCTCACGTACACTCCCCGCTGCTGCCCCTGCCCTGCGAGCGATGCAATGATACTGACGGTCCAAAAGATACGTCCCAAGGAACTTTACTTCTCAGCCGCCTGGTTGGTACGCGCAAGCGGCACCATAGACGACTTGGACACTAACAAGTATTTCGTGAGGAACCACTTGCATATCTCACCGAAACAAGACACTGTGAGCGCGTCTTTGCCGGTGCTTGTCTTGGAGTCCTTGAGTCTCCCCAGAAGAGCGAAACGACTGCATGCACGGTGTCAGACGGAAATGGGACAAGACACAAACAAGATGTACATGCGAGCAATAGGAAGTCAGAAGACGGTATCTTCAGGGCGACTATTACTGCTGTATTTAGTGGAGCGCATATGCAGCGCAAGCCTCATTCGAGGTGAAGGCAGTGGACAATATCTTCAGGGCGGCTAGTGTTTTTGTGGGGAGCAAATATAGCGCAAACCTCATGCGACGAGGTCAACTCTCTTCTGGGTTGTCACAACATCAACACGGAAATCACTTCGAAAACAAGTTGGTATTGTGATACCTAGACATCAAGGAGATCCCAACCTCCTCTTGGCATTCTCGCACGGCCGTCTGGAGTTCAGTTTCTCCAGCCTCCTGTCTCCCTCCCGGTAAAGCGATGTGCCCACTCCATTTGTCTCTGCCAGGGGCCAAGAAGTAGTCCATCAGAGAGCACATCAGCAAGCATGGTGTTGGAGAGGGGATTGGCCGGCGCTCGAACAGGGAGTCCCCGAACAAAGTAATCATGTAGGGTGCCAAAGGGCGGAGATATACACAGGGCGAGTGAGAGCGAAAAGAACGAAAAAGCGAGTGGAGCAAGTACGAGATAGACAGATGTCGCTCTTTGATTACGGCAAGAACACTCTGGCGGTCGACTGCTGTGCAGGGTTCCGCTTCCAACCATGTACCGGTACGCAGAAATACGCGACAACCAACCCCGCGTGTTGTATGCTATGTTTCTCACCTAAGACTGGCGGCCCTCTTGATCACCAACATTTCCACCTTGCCGTCCACCTCACGGAGGATGAGAGACAAAGACGCGCATCTGGGTCTCACTGGTGCACGAGCAGCTGAATCGACCGCTGGGACACTACCCTTCCCGTCGCGGGCTTGGAGACTAAACCACGCTGCCTCTGTTGGGGTTGGTTGCCTCAAGTTGCTGGAGGATCTCAAGCGATCCACGAGGTCGTTCCTAGGCGCCATCGTCGCCGAAGAGAAGGAAAGAAAGGAAGCCCGCTCTACTGACGTACACACGTGCTCTCTTTTTGCCGAGATTACCAGCCGAGAGTATCTGAAACACGGCCTGCCTTCACGCCTTCACTGCTGTGGGAGCGGCGGGGGCGCTGGGGGACTTGGGG